TTCTTTCTTAAAGAGGAAGAGGACCGAAAAGCTGATAAAGGGGACTGTTTTTCCTCTGGAGAATTGCTTGTAACTAGTTGAACGTCAGCGATTACAAATCCATCCTTTGGGGGTGTCTAGAAGAAGAAAGTTAATTATGTTCTCAAAACACCATAATATGCTGGGTGTGGTAGCTCACGTCCATAAATCCCAGCACTTTGGGAGGCCAAGGCAGGTGGATCACCTGAGGTCAGGAGTTCGAGACCAGCCTGGCCAACATGGTAAACCCCATCTCTACTAAAAATACAAAAATTAGCTGGGCATGGTGGCGGGTGCCTGTAGTCCCAGCTATTCGCGAGGCTGAGGCAGGAGAATCACTTGAACCTGGAAGGCGGAGGTTGCAGTGAGCCAAGATCGTGCCATTGCACTCCAGGCTGGGTGACAAGAGCGAGACTCCATCTCAAAAAACAAACAAACAAAAAACAAAACCACACCCTATAATAACAACAACAACAATAAAACAAAGAATATATTGAACGTCCTATACCATTACCATGGTGACAATGATTATAGCAGCCACCACTCCAGGAGTACTTGCCATGTTGCAGGCACTGTCTCAGGCAGTTTTCATGCATTATATTGTTTAACCTTCACAATAACTCTATCAGGTAATCATTACTACTTCTGTTTTGCAGAAGAGGAAATAGAATATAGAACAAACTAATTAATTTGCCCACTACTACAAAAGTAGTAAGTTGGAGGGCCAGAATTTGAATACAGGACTGTCTTGCTTCAAGCCCATACATAAGACCTCCCTATCCTACTCTTCTACCATACCATTGTCTAGTTTGTCACAACTGCAGCTAATTTATTCATAAAAAGTACACATTGCCCCAAAAAAGTACTCCAGCTCTCATGACCTCTAACACATAGAAACAACTTATAGAAACAACTTTGAGTTGTAGAGACGTAGACTAGAAATTTTATCAATTATCAAAACCTCAACCACTCCCAAAGAATACTTCTGCTTTAATCTCCAAAACTGAAAGCCTGTCTCGTGTCTGTGAAATTCATAATGTTTTTACGTGGTTGTAGCCTAAGGAAAGTACTATTGGTAAGTTGAGAAGCCACTAAGGGCTTAATTTTTGTTCATTAAGAGATTAAGGAAGCTTTGCTTGGTAAATCACTTTGCTTCCATTGTTGGTGAAAATCAAGAAATTCCTCAGTTCCTCCAAGCATAATCAGTTAGTTTCTCATCCTTGTTTCAACAGCTCTTTGTATACAATTCTATTGGATAACACTTTAGTACTCAGTGTTGTAATTATTTGTTTATTTTTCTATGTCCTGGGCTACTAGACTAGTCTGTGAAAGCAGGGCTGGGGTCTTTCTATGTTTAGCACCTAGCTCACAACAGTGTTTAATAAATATTTATTCAGGCTGGGCGTGATGGCTCATGCCTGTAATCCCAGCACTTTGGGAGGCTGAGGAGGGTGGATCATGTGAGGTCAGGAGTTCAAGACTAGTCTGGCCAACATGGTGAAACCCTGTCTCTACCGAAAATACAAAAAAATTAGCCAGG